GAGAGGTCCGCACACGTATGAGGAGAGTGGCGTGAGGGAGCGCGCGGCGCACACACACACACACACAGTACGATCAGTAGGAAGGCAGCATGCGACAGTTCAACACCGGCACTCAGCTAGGAGCACATCGCATCGTTATCATCATGATCGCATGGTACACTTGTCGCTCGGCAGAAATGACAAGATATATAAACATATAGTTATAAAAACAAGAACAATCGACTTCAAACTGGTTCCCGACATCAAAATATCTATATGAAATATATCGTCATCGCAGTCTTTCCACTTTGACAAATCAGAGATAACGATATGTGCCAGATACCCAAAGTGAGAGGCGCCGCTCTCGCGTTTTGTCACTAAATATGTAAAACGTACAAGTGCATACAAATTTCACCGCGAGGAACATGTAAATAGTTGGTATCTGCCGTGCTTCTACGGGCGCTGACATTGTTGTAGCAAGGACAAGGTGTATGAGAATGAGCGGCACTCACGACGCGCACGAGGAAGGCGGTGTGATCCTGGCGCAGGTAGCGGGCGGCGCGGCGCACGTAGCCGGCTCCCGCTCGCATGCCGCGCGCCGCCAGCTCCGCCGCGCGCACCGACCACGGCTCCGAGGCGCAGTGCTGCAGCTGCAACCGACCACACCGCCACGTTAGCCTTCCTTACCCGAGTGAATCGATACTGGCGAGACAAGGGTGATGTCGATGTGATAGCCAGCGAGAGCACGCACCTGCCTGACGGCGATGGAGACGACCTTGTCGAGCGTGTAGGCGGGGTAGGCCTTGATGCCGAGCATCTCGCGCGCCGCGTCCTCGTAGGCGGCGGGCTCCGTGTTGCCGTCGAGCACGGCGCGCACGAGCTCCAGCAGCGCGCCGTAGTAGTGCCGCGGCTCGGCGGCCTCGGGCGGCAGGTTGCAGGGGCGCAGGCGCAGCGCCGCCGCCGCCGCCGTGCCGCCGCCCGCGCCGCCCGCCTCCGCCAGCGCGGCCGCAGCACGCCGCGCCGCGCCCAGCCGCGCACACAGCACGCCGTGCAGCCGCAGGAACAGGTACCACGAGGACGTGCACACGAACCGCGCCTCCTGTACACATCAAACATTTCACCTGTAATTCGCATACCCTGCCCGCTCCGAGGAGCTGAGTATATCGGCGACAAGTGCCGCTTAAGTATACTGACATTGGGAGGGTAGTCCTTGTAGTCCTCCTCGAGCTCATCGGGCCTGAGGTCGGGCTCCGACTTGACGGCGAGGGAGTCCTCGAGGCTGGCGCTGCGTTTCACGCCGCCGCCGCCCTCTGCAACACAAAGTTTGACGGTCAGTATTTGCAAGCGGCCGCTGACCGAGAAGCAGCACCGACTCCGAGCCTCACCTTTGCTCTCCATGTTGTTGTTCTTGGGTTTGTTCTCCTTGTCGTTCTTGTTGTTCCTGCTGCTCTTGTCGGAAGCGTTGTCGGACTCCGAAGACTGATAACGAAACAAAACATACTGAAACTATTACTACTGTAACTATTTTTTGAAACTTCGATTTTCTCGTTTGATTTTCACTCGAAATCGGGAAGTGCAAGGCGGAGAGAACTTAGGACATACTAACAGTGTTACGAGCAGAAGTCGCAGGTCGCAATGTAAGTTACCTCGTGCTTGTCGGGCTTGCCGGCGAGCGGTGCGGATGGCGCGGTCGGTGCTGCGGGCGGTGCGGGCGCGGCGGAGGCGGGCTTGTCGTCTCGCTGCGCGGGGCTGCCGACCTCCTCCTTGTCCTCTGCACAGAGA